TCTCTCTCTCTCTCTCTCTCTCTCTCTCTCTCTCTCTCTCTCCCTCTCTCTCTCTCTCCGAGTCTCTCTCTCTCTCTCCGAGTCTCTCTCTCTCACACACACAGACACACACACACATACACACACACACACACACACCACACTTGTGCACAGCGGACCACCTATCAGCCTATGCATGTACTCGTGCACCCACGCTACGCCAAGGAGCTCGTTGTGGCGCACCATGCACTCGAACATGATGGACGACATGCGTCACCAACCTTGACCTACACTCCGCCCCCTCCTCGCTGCCGTACGACTCATCCGTTGAATCGTGAAAGGTCTGTCGTCGTCGTCGTCGCGCGGCCGGGTTCCTTGGTGGTGGGGGACGTGGCGGAAGGTTGTCGTCGTCGGAGTCATCACCGTCGGAGGCGCACAGCTCGTCGACGTCCACATTGTGGTCCAGAAGAATATTGTGCAATATACACACGGCCATGAACTCTTTGCACAACGTCTTCAAGTTGTTAATCTGTCGACGGATAAAATTTCGCCACACCGCCTTTAGAATCCCGATTGTCCGCTCGATGACGCTCCTTGCAGCGGAGTGCGAGTCGTTGAAGGTGACACCGTCTGCGGTACGACCACGAGCAGGAACTGGCGTGATCAACCACGGCAAACAAGGAAAGTCTGCATCCCCCAGTACATACCGGCCAATTCTTGTCCCCTCAGTGAGCGTGTGTGCACCGACACTGAACACTCCTAAACCGTTTTGAGCGTCCGAGTACAAAGGAGATAAGCGCAACACCAGAGAGTCGTGGTTGGAGCCCGGGCAGCCGACGTACACATCCAAAATCCTGCATTCGTGGTCGCAGACCACCTGCGCGATGACCGAAAATTGTCCCGTCCTGTCGTAGTAGCACTCGCCACGCTCCTTCCTTGGCTTTTCAATGTAAAGGTGAGTGCAATCTATTGCACCCATACAGCCTGGAAAGCCCTTCCGTTCAAATGCATCGAATGTCTATTGCAGATGGCGACCCCGCGGGAAGGAGATGACATCACGATATTCCCTGATGATTGCGTCGGCCACGTCTTCGTTGCTCCGCAGTGCACTGGCCAGTCCCATGCCCAACCCATGAGCAGACTGTCTGTAGAAACCGCCAGTGGCCCATCTGATCAGCGCGCATGCAAATTTTCTGTTCCGTAGGCAGTGGCTGCCTCCAATTCGTTGTTGCCCGCTGAATATGAGGTGCTATTCGGCGCAAGACGTCCTCAAACACTGGACGAGGGAACCTACAAAACCTTTTGAAGATCTTGTCGTGTCTCCTACCCACACGTTGGAGATCCTTCCACACACCACCGCTGCGATCAAGTACCCAAATCCTACCACTACTCTTGCCTCTCTCATGAATGGCACTCAAGGCCGCATGGAGGAGATGAAGGTTGTGACCAACACCATACGTCAACAGTGCCAAAACGACAGGCATTCCAGGATCCCACAGAGGCAATGATGTTGCTGCCTCGATAACGGTCATAGCCGCCTCGTCCCTTTGTTTCATCCATTGGATGATGACGAAAACCAACATGAACAGCATGTCGTCCCACTTCACACTCGCATCCGAGCATGCGCCGGCAGCACCGCTGCCAGGCGCGCTGTCGAGTTCCATTGCCGCATACGTGTCAGGCATGTCCCCATCTCCATCGCCGAAACCCGCTTCCATGGCCACACGATCAAGCACTTTCAAGCGCTGAACGCAAATGGCGACGACGCGTCTCACGACGCGACTGGCGATGGCGTTGCAATGGCGGAGGGAGCGCCAACGGTCAGTGGTCCCCTACCTGAACCCAAACGGTCGATGACACTCTCCAGCGGCCATGAGGTTCCGTGGGAGCCAGGTCCTATTGCTGGGACCTGTTCGTTTGTCGCCCACACCCCATATTCCCGTCACACCATGCCGCGCTTATCCCGCACATGGACATCCGGTGGACCAAAAAACAAACCCGTTCAATGACGGCGGCCACCGTAAACTTCCCATTTCGGGAAAGGCCGAATGCGTTTTCCTGTTTGGGCAAGCAGGTCATCTGCGGACGCGAAAATCCCGTGGTGCAGTGGGGTCCTGTGTTCCTGGAAACCTCCGTGTGCGGTGGACGAAGCCCGTCCTGCGCAGACAGATTGTCTGCCTTTCCGCGAGCCTGTGGGGTCCACCCCGTAGTCTCAAGGCCAACTTTTGGCAGGAGGACATGACCCCGTTTGGACGGACTCAAGTGTTGGTGGACTGGTCACCAGCTGTTCCAGCAAATGGCTTCCGTTGGCCAGCTATCCAGGCTTCAGCGGAGGCTTCAACGTGTCGTCTAACCTCGGAAAACAAAGGCGTTCACAACAGGCACCAGGAGGAAGGTTTGGAAACAGTCGACCTTGAGGTACGTTGGGCACACCTACCCATGCAACCCTTCAGCATCAGGCCCGAAGCGTGATGGGCCGGTTGTGACCCCTTTACACCTATCCCCGTTGTTTCGCCCCAAGCTCAGTTGGGCTCTCACCAATTACCGGTTTACATGTCAAGGCTCGCGAGCCTTGGAAGGTAGCTTTGCGGTTGTGTCGCCTTTACACCTATCGTGTGACCACCAGTACTTCCAAGCCTCTCTTTCCAAAGGTGCGTTGTATTCGTAGCATGTGCATTATGCTACGGTTACAGGGTACCAACTTTCGAAAATTGGGCCCCAAAAAAAAATAGTACCTTGTATTCGTAAGTGTGTTATGCTACGGAAACACAGGGCTATTTGCCTGATCGGCCTTTGGATTCATTCTTCATTTGCACATTTTGGAGTACGTGAGTGTTGAGTATGCGGCGGTGCTGCATTGTGTCGTCCATGTTCACCACCATCTCCACCTGCATCCTTTTCCACAGCGACGGGACCGCAACCCCGACTGTCCCATTACACGGGTATCAGAGCAGGAACGATCCCCGCTCCCACCCATTGCGCCCCGTGATGTCCAATCCCCGATAGCAGGTTTTTCAAGCGTTTTGGAACACTCAGGCGGGGAAAAAACGAAAAAAACAGCGGCGGGGAGGCACAGGAACGACGAACGTGTCGAGCAGAAAAGGGTGTCACATGTCCAACGCCCGTGCGGAAGCGCCAAGGCCGCAAGCGCGCATCCCGCCTCACTCCTGATTTATGTTAAGATATCGGATCATCACGCCCCATAATATCCAATCCCCGATAGCAGGTTTTTCATGCATTTTGGAGCACTCAAGCGAGGAAAAAAACGGGAAAAACAGCAGCGGAGAGCCACAGAAACGATGAACGTGTCCGACAGAAAAGGGTGTCACATGTTCGATGCACGTGCGCAAGCGCGCACCCCGCCGCGCTCCCAAATAATGTTAAGATCCAGGATGCATACTGCTGCCACGTTTTGAACATGGGCAACTGTTGCTCATGCGCATGCATGACCAATGCCCTCACACGTACACAGTCTTAGTATATGCTGAGTGTGTGGCACGTTGATGTTGAAGAGCGTCTGTTAGCGCAAATATCCTTACAAGCGTACCCGCCTTGGGTTTTTGCAAGTGACAGAAAATGATTTTGATTTGACAGTTAAGAGCACTGCGCGACTCATGACCGATTTCTTTCTGTGACTAAGAGTGTGAGACTATTTGAAGGGAGCAGGGAGTGTGTGGGCGCACAGTTTTTAGGCGCGCGTGATTCTTTTATTGATATTGCGAACTGACACGCTTGAGGACTAATTTTTCTATTTTTTATCAAATCAGGACCAAGTGATTTTTTCCTTGGTTGGTACGTTTGATGGTGATGCGCGTGCGCTCGTGCGGAGGTCAGCTTTGGCGATGGTGCAGTCTTTGTGTGGTAAACGGACTAAGCGGTGGAGTAAAAACACAAATCGGGCCTCCGCACGGTAAATACGGAAGCTTGACATGCGTGGGTGCGACTTATAGGCGAAGGTGTCGCCTTGGAATATTTCAGTAGGCTCACGCGTCGCGTGACACCCGTTTATATAGGTGTGCGCTAGTGCTAAACCCAACCTTGGACCTAATACTATTGGTTATGATATTGGACTTTCACCATGAAGGTACGAGGATTGAAGCCAGCAGTGAAGCGGCTTAAAGGAACCGAGGGGTTGAGGTTTCGGCGGGGCTATCCTCCTTCGGGGTTAGCGGGTCCGATTAACAG